ATGAATTACTGCAGGCGAGGAAAGAATCGGCGCAGCTACCAAGCGGGGTTATGTCCAACTCATTAAGAATATGCCTACGCACGGCTAGGACCGGCTTGATGAATTAACCTCAGGCAACGTTACGTACGCACTTCGTAGGATGCCTGCCTATGACGGTACACGATTACGCCACCAGAGTATGACAATGTCTTAGGCCCAGTTCGGATGACAAAATTCTGCATAATTAAAACAAAGGTCAAAATATCACAGACAGTAACGAACAAACCACACAATGCGTGGGTAGGACACGAAGATTCCGAAACTCCGCACAAACATGTTCGAGCGTCAGAAGTGAGAGTTTTCACACTGCCAGATTATATAGTAGGCTACCAATTAAACAAGTCCTGGAACACCGCCTGGTCTACGCTTCTAATCACAATGAAAACTAGTTCCCAGAAACTCAATAAGACTCATTAATTACAGGATAATTATCCAGTACACGTATATGTATCATTCCCGCAGTATTGTAAGAAATACATAATTAATGTATCATTGTGCATAGTTTTTATTTATTTCCGTAAAGTTAACCGTTTCAAATGAGCCAAATTAAGTGACAGTCACTACAAATTAGTTTAAATCCTTAATTTAAACGTTTACAATTTAATCACAGCTTCATATATGTCTAAAAATACTATTTCAAAGTGCTGGGAAATCGCACCTGGAGCCATAATTTCAAAAATGTTCTGGGGGAGGATCCACAGAGTATGTGCTTTGATGGCGCTTAATATAATGGCGCTAGCGCTGCCGGCTTCGCTGCCACTTCATAGGTTTCTATACTATGAAGTTCCACTGCTGTACGGTAGTAATAAGAATCCCCCCCTTTTTTTTTTTAGCTGGCTATGCCTCTGATTGCCCTTACATTCGGTGATATACAGGAACTACGATTTACGCGTAACATTAGTACAAAAAAACATTACTAAAGATTCTGTATATGGTCTGGTACGGGAGATGGTCCATGGAGTGTGTCACCATCAGTTACTCCACTGTGAGGGGTGAGCCTTGTTTCAGACTCACCCCTGCATCGCTCATCGTTACACAGTTGAGTCATGAAATTTTGCCCCTCCCCTAGGAATTTGCTCAGCCTATGGCCCTGGATTATAGACGAAAGCAGGAGAGGGGCGGGGACAAATGGCGAGAAGGGGTGAATAGTTGGAGAAAAGGATACAGACAGATAATGAAATGAAATTGTCAATGACACTATAGCTCACCTTGGGTGTGATAGAAGAGGGAGATGATATTTAAAATTTGGCAAGTGTTTCATTTATGACGGACCGAAATGTGATAAAATGTCCGTATTCCCTGTTTTATACTAATAGAAATTTCACTGTTTTGTTTCAGGGTTAGTTTTGATGCGAAAATAAATGTTTCAGATCTGAAAGTCTGAAATCTGGGCGAGAGATGGCGCTACGCCTAAATGATCGCCATTTTGGTTTTCGATTATCGCGCAAATAAAAGCAATAAAATATTCCATGCAAAGTACTGTAACTAAGAATCTAAAACACAATATTACACGTTGGTATGATTAGGTAGGTAGGTAGGTAGGTAAATTTACCAAAATCGAATGAATCTAGATGGTCATTTTCATTTTTGCCAAAAAGTGGGCGTGGCTCGAAAGTAAGTCGACTGGCGTGCTCCAAAATAGGACGTTCAAATCTCTCCCATAAAAGTAACAATTGTATGCAATTGTATGTAATATGTGGGTCAAACGGTTCTTGAGTTATCGTTGACCGTAGGCAGACACTGAAATGCATAGTGAAATTGCCAAAATCTACCTAATTTGCATAATTAAAAATAAAAATATCAAAACCCGTGTGATAATGTTTTGTGGCCAGTGCCTTTTCATTCACATACCAGAAATGAGCAAAATCTGTTGAACCTGAACTGACTTATGGCCATTTCCATTTTTGCCAAAAAGTGGACGTGGCTCGAAAGTAGGTCGACTGGCGTGCTCCAAAATAGGGTGTTCAAATCTCTCCCATATGAGTAACAACTGTATGCAGTTCGAAACATGTGGATCAAACGGTTCTTGAGTTATTGCTGACCGTAGCCAAATGTTGACGGACGAATGGATGGACGGACGGACGTACGACGGACAACGCCCCATGGCAATAGCTCATTTTGACGATGTCAAGGTGAGCTAAAAATGGGTGAGGTGAAAATGAGAGAGAGAGAGAGCGAGAGAGAGAGCGAGAGAGAGAGCGAGAGAGAGAGCGAGAGAGAGAGAGATAGAGAGCGAGAGAGAGACTGGATAGAGGTAAAATATGATGATGATAGTGTGAAATACACAGCCTGCATGTGGCTGTCATTAGTAGAATGTTTTTACTATTCTTCAGGTAGGTCAAGTAAAAACGTAGAGAATGTCCCCTTCCCCAACTGTGTGCGCAGTTATAGTTCGCCCCTTGATGTTGCAAACCAGCAAGAAACTAAATGGAAGGAACCCCTTGCGCCCCTTGGTGTCATGACTGCAGTCTCTGTAGCATGGCTGCCTACAGCTGTCTCTCCTGTAGCTGGTTCTTCAAACGCTTATTGTGTACGGTACCGTGCACAGGCACTTGGAACGTCTCAATAAAAAAGGTAAATAAACACGAAATGTATTTACTACCAAAGTCTGTTTCTCTACTCTATTTCGCCTATAATCACCTTTAAATGCCGGCCAAATGCTCATCTGCAACACACAAGTACACGGCATGCTAGCTGCTGCACACTGACACATAAATATATATATTTATGTGTCAGTGTGCA